ATGCAGCATATTGTAAGAGTAATTCCGACAGCGCTTCAAAAATCAAAATCGTAATTCATAATTCCGACACCATGTGTGAGCTGTTTTGGAATGTGACACCCTGTGTCATGGCTGTGTGTCGTTATTCCGACACCGTGTTGGAATTAGTTTTTATGTGTCTGAAACTGTCTCTTAAATCAATCATCTATCAATTTATTTACCACTTAAATCAGCAAATACAAGTATACCATAAAATGGTGAAACTTGGAGTCTTGGACTACTATTTTTTAAATGATGCCATTTTTTTACTAGCTAAATTAAACTTGAACTGAAACATGCAAAATACAAGTCTATACTCTAGGTTTACTTACTGTAAATTGCTGGCTCCTGCCTTTCATAGTTTTTATGTAATTTAAAAATAAGTGATGGTCTTTGTTACCCCAGCTCCTTGGGTACCTATCTTAGACTGGGTGGTAAAATCAATTATATTTTTTGGTAATATAACTCCTAATAACTCCAGGTTATGGTGCATTGTAGTAGAACTCTTCTAGTTATATATGCAAATGACAAATTCAAGGAAAGTGTCATAGTTTGCAAATGGGGATGCTGCCCCTGAATGGGGGAACTTAGACCACCTAATGTCAGCCGTGAAGGGGTAATATTGACCGGCTTGGTAATTAAGTTGAAATTACCATATATAAGACTGTAGAGTCTGAAACATAAAGAAAAAACATTAATAAGTGTATCAAACATGAAATATGTCATATATTGGTACCTATATGGTAATTTTAAATTAATTTCCAAGCCAGTCTATGTTACCCCGTCAGGGCTGACATTAGGTGGTCTAAGTTCCCCCATTCTTGGGCAGCGCCCCCCATTTGCAAACTATGACACTTTCTTCAAATTTGTCATTTGCATATCATATGTAACTAGAAGAGTTCTACTACAATGCATCAAAACCTGGAGTTATTTTACCAAAAAAATATAAAATTGGAGGGGGTTCTATGACAGGCTTTAAATAATGGCTATTTTTCATGGGTCACATTTTTCATTTTTTAACCTATTAGTTATGCATACCTTTTTTTTATCTTTCTATTGTGTTACATAGCCTCTGTATTAGGCATTTAATGACCATTGACAAATTTTTTTTATGTCAAATAGGTAGTTTTTGAGTTTTGGGGGTTTTTGTTAGAAAAACTATAAGTGGTCCAAGTTACCCCGGGAGTCTAAGTTATCCCATTTTAAGGTACTTAAAGGATTCCTAATATATTCACAGACTTTTTTAAAAGTCTCAAACCATAATATTCTTTCTACACAAACAGTTTATCACTATTTAGTAAAAAAGGTCAACTATCAAATTTTATACATGTTTTGATGTTCTCACTAGTTGACTTGGACTTTCGCTCTGCAGATTTTAATATTTTCCCGCTAGACCTACCGTCAACCGAGGCTACTCGGGACAGTTTTGAGCGTTTTTTTGTTAATAACTGTTAATAACTTCTTACGATGAAACATTTCATAAACAAGTTTAGGCTCATTTTATAGCTCTTTGCGAGGGCTATCGAATGGCATTGTCAAAAAAAATCCATATGCTATTCCTAAGGTGCCAAAAGCAAAAAAAAGTGTCCCGAGTCGACGGGGCTATTCAGGACACTTGCAATGAAACTACATTTTAAAATATTTGAAGCATGCAGAGTGTACTCATCCATTACTAACAGTACTCTGAAGTTCTCCTCTTCCATTGTAGATGATGTAGAGGTAGAATAAATGACATTTTCAGTGATTTTTACTTGTTTTTTATTTATTGATGATATTACCATAAACATTAATTACCATCAACTGGGGTGACTTTGGCTGCTTATTTTATTTTGTTTTGCAAACAAAAAGGGGGTCGTAAATGCCGGGGTCATAAACGCCAGGGTCGTAAACAAGGTCATAAACGCCAGAGTGACTTTGGCCATCCTTTATGACCCCACTTTTGTTTGCAAAACAAAATAAAAAATGGGGCCCAAGTCACCCCAGTTGACAGTACTGTATTATTGATGTGATATTAGGGTATCCATGAACATGCCATTGAGCATTTACAACAACCTTGTCCACTGCAAGCTTCATATCAGCAGCCTTATAGCATTATTTCTGTATCTGTAAGCTCACAGGACGGCTTGTAATTTCAGACCATTTTAATTCGGTTGAGCGAATTTACTATAAAAAATATAACTCGGTACTCACTGCAGTGAGTGACAGAGAGCGCATTTTCTCGTGGACGAAAACTTGAGGTCACAGACAAACGGACAGACGGACGGACAGACAGACAGACGGACATGGCAAGCACAATAGTGCTCATTTATGCGCCATGCGCTTGTTTATGCGCCATTTTAATTGGGTTAAGTGAATTTACTATAAAAAAAAGATTGTGAAAAATATACCTGAAACAGAAAGGAATGTTTTAGTGACAACCATCATATATTTTGGAGAAATAAATCATAGTTTAGGTCAATTACTTTTCATTCTATGATGCCCGGTGGCCGGTGCACAATTATATATATAGCATTCTATGTACAATTTTGTGACGACCGATGATGCACTAATTTTTCGATAAGTGAAATTTTTTCGCCAAGCGAGGTAAATGTAATCAATATTCTTTGTTTTTAATCCATTTTTTTCTTAACTGGACCCTTTGCTTACTGAGGTTCTACTGTAAATGCGTTTTTGGGGGTTGTCCCGAATAGCCCCGGGGGGGTGTCCCGAGTAGCCCCACCGTGTGGAAATGGCCGCTATTTTTTTTTTGAATGAGATATAACAATTCCGTCAATTACATTTTCAAGCCAACACCTGGGTGCATCTTTTATGTAAGTAAAATTTTTTAATATGGCAAATATTTTTTTTGGCTACAGACCTTAGCAGAAGTAACTTTTCAAAATAGCATTTTTCACCATTTTTTTCAAGAATTTTTCAAAACTAGTAAATGTAGTATTTTTCGACTTCCTTCATACTACATAGATAGGAAAAATGTTGAAGTTTATGCCATTATATTTCGTTTTGCAATATACTAATTAGTTTTGCTACTATAACAGTTTTACGCCGTGTCGGAGGACTGTCCCAAGTAGCCGTGCCCGTCCCGAGTAGCCCCGGTTGATGGTACCATTAACCAGGGCTACTCGGGACGGGCTGGGTAACTTGGGACAGTCCTCTGACTCGACGTAAAACTGTTTTAGTAGCAAAACTAATTGGAATATTGCAAAACTAAATATAGTGGCATAAAAGTCAACATTTTTCCTATCTGTGTAGTATAAAGGAAGTTCAAAAATACTACATTTACTAGCTTTGAAAAGTTACTTCTGCTAAGGTCTGTAGTAAAAAAATATTTGCTGTATTAAAAAATTTTACTTAGAAAAAAGTGGCAGACAAGTGTCAGCATGAAAACTTCATTTGCGGAATTTACATACCTCAATAAAAAAAATGGCGGCCATTTCCGTACGGCGGAGCTACTAGGGACACCCCCGGGGCTATTTGGGACACCCCCAAAAACGCATTCACTGTAGAACCTCAGTTAGCAAAGGCTCTAGTTAAGAAAACAATTGATTAAAAACAAAGAATATTGATTACATTTACCTTGCTCAGCAAAAAAATTTCACTTGTCAAAAAATTAGTGCATCGTCGGTCATCACAAGATTATGCATAGAATTTCATATATAGAATTGTGCACCAGGCATCATAGAATGAAAAGTAATTGACCTAAACTATGATTTATTTCTCCAAAACATATGATTGTTTTCACCAAAACATTTCTTTCTGTTTCAGGTATGTTTTTCACTATCTTTTTTTTATAGTAAATTCACTTAACCCCATAAAATGGTGTGAAATTACAAGCTGTCGTGTAAGCTTACAGATACAGAAAAAATGCTATAAGGATGCTGATATGAAGCTTGCAGTGGACAAGGTACCAGTTAAAATGCTCAATGGCCTGTTCATGGATATGGTAATATTGCATCAATAATACGGTAATTAATGTGTATGGTAATATCATATCAATAAAGGAAAAACAAGTAAAAATCATGGAAAAAGTCATTTATTCTACCTCTACATCATCTACAATGAAAGAGGAGGACTTCAGAGTACGGTTAGTAATGGATGAGTACACTCTGCATGCTTCAAATGTTTTAAAATTAAGTTTTATTCCAAGTGTCCCGAGTAGCCCCATTCGACGGGGCTACTGGCGACACTCTTTTTTTGTTTCTGGCACCTTACAAATAGCATATGGAATTTTTTTGGAGAAGCCATGCGATAGCCCGTGCAAAGAGCTTTGAAATGAGCCTAAACTTGTTTATGAAATGTTTCATGGTAAGAAGTTATGAATGAAAATTGTTTAAAATCGTCCTGAGTAGCCCCGGTTGATGGTACACTGAATTGCGTATTTTCTCACAATTTATATATTTGTCTGTGGCTGAATATTGGCCTGTGTGTCTGTGGTAGAGTGTGAAAAGATATATGGAGGAAGTGTGTCTTATCTTAATCTTAGGAGGATGTCAAGAGCTGAATCTTAAGAGGTGGAGAGGGGAGCAGAAGGCTAGTTGATCAAGTTTGTATGTTTGGTCCTATTTTTTAAAAATGTATGCTGATGCTTTTTTAAATTTAATTTATTTAATTTCCTAAATTACGTATAATTGTGAACACATTGTTGCTTGAATGTTTTAGTTCCCAGGGAAAATGCAATTTTTTTATTTGGTTCTGGTTTTTGAGTAAATGAATGCGCAATGCATGGATGACTGCTATTAAGGTCTGACTGTAGGTCTACATGATCCCAATTCCAGGTGATCTTTAGAGGTATCAGGATGTTATAGGAAATAAGTATAAACATATGTATATTATTGAGGTTATTTGCTATCTCAAGAATTTTAGGCTTCAATTTCTACAACATTGAATTGATGATTTGTCAAGTTTTGCTTTATTTTTATCTTTAAGATGGGTAATTTGATTTAGTACCTTTCAAATATTTATATCTAATTTTATTTCTCTTTCAGGTATTGTGGAACAAACATCACATAATGGAGGTTTCCCAAACTCCTGAAGAGAAGGACAACTACTCCTTAGCGCTGCACTTGTTCCCGAGGCACCCACGGCTTGCCCCCATCTCTCCTGTGAGACTCACATGCTTCAATGAACAGGGCAAGGAAATCAAACCCAAGACTCCAGTCAGGGATGGCTTCTTTAGGAGGTTTGGTAAGTGGGCAACATCTATGCTTGGTACTCAAGAAACAAATAATAATTGTGAAGAAGATGGAATGCAAAATGACCGCCAAAAAGGCAGCTCAAGTGGATCACAAAATACAACTTTTATACCATGCAAAAATTTTTACCAAAACTCTTCTCCTACTGTGCCTAAAAGAAGCTGTGCAGAGTATCCTCATAAAGTGCGGACCAAAACCCTGGTCAAATCTATTGCCCCCAGAAAAAGTTTGAAGTTAGTGAAGCTCCCTGAAAAAGAAATGCGTGAGCACATAAAGAAAAATTCACCCACAAAGTTGAAAGATTGTGATGATCACAACAGAGGGGCAAAATTGAAAGCGTGGTGCAGGTCCACAATGAGAAACTCACTGTGTGGAATTTCATGCAAAAGTAAAATGCAGAAAAAGAATGCTAGCAAGTTTGTGAAAAAATCCCCCGTGAAGTTGGAGGAGCTGGAGAGAAGTCTCCTCTCATGGGGAAAGTTTGATGGATCATTTGTGATCGGCCCTCAAGTGTTCTATGGGGGACTGGGCCGGAAAGATAAAGAAAATGAAACTGGGTCATCAGTCCTTCCAGTTCGTAAATCAAAAAGAAAAACTGCCCGACGGGTTCAGTTTGAACAAAAGTTGGACATTTTTAATAAAATAAAGAACAAGTGTCAAGAAGGAATAAAGGTAAGTAAATGTAATACCGTACCTATATAAGTACCTAATAATAGAAGAATTTAAATGCTACATTATAATATGCTGGGGAAACGGCATTTGCTTTGCTCCTGTTGAATGTTAGGTGGTACTAGGTAATGGTCTGATTTGTGGCTAACTTCAATGCCTAACATCATGAGATTTTTTGTTCATTTGGGAGAATTTTTAAGAGAGAATTTTAACTAGATTTGGATGAAACTCTTCAACATCCTCAGCAAATTGAGTTATTAAAACATATTAGCAATTGAGGGTAAATGCATGGAACTTTCTTTGTGTTACCAATGATGTACCGCCTTTATTTCCTTCCTGCAAATTTATTCTGCTTGTTCACTTGTGTGTCCAACACATTGCTATATTTGTTGTAGTGTATACCTTAAATCTTACTAATTTTACACTCGTTTTAACATCACCCAAAAGATTATCCATCTTTATGCAGATTATATATAAAATAAGTTTGCGTATGAGGCAGAATATTGACTATGCCTTTATTGCAGATGGTGGAGTTGCCAGGGAAGGGACGTGGCGTGGTCACCACTCGGCCCTTCAGGAAGGGGGAGTTCGTGGTGGAGTATGTGGGGGAGCTGGTGGAGCATGAGGTCGCCCTGGCTCGGGAGCAGGCCTATGAGGGGGATGACTCCATCGGCTGCTACATGTACTTCTTCAGGCATGGCGACGAGGTCCTCTGGTTAGTTCTTCTTGTTATTGTTGCGGTTGTTTTAGTTTGCCCAAACATTGTGTGTGAGTGGGGTCTGTAATAAATGAGTGGGGTCTGTAATAAGTGAGTGGGGTCTGTAGTAAGCGAGTGGGGTCTGTAATAAGTGAGTGGGGTCTGTAATAAGTGAGTGGGGTCTGTAGTAAGCGAGTGGGGTCTGTAATAAGTGAGTGGGGTCTGTAGTAAGCGAGTGGGGTCTGTAATAAGTGAGTGGGGTCTGTAGTAAGCAAGTGGGGTCTGTAATAAGTGAGTGAGGTCTGTAATAAGTGAGTGGGGTCTGTAGTAAGCGAGTGGGGTCTGTAATAAGTGAGTGGGGTCTGTAATAAGTGAGTGGGGTCTGAAATAAGTGAGTGGGGCCTGTAATAAGTGAGTGAGGTCTGTAATAAGTGAGTGGGGTCTGTCATAAGTGAGTGGGGTCTGTAATAAGTGAGTGGGGTCTGTAATAAGTGAGTGGGGTCTGTAATAA